TGTCCCTCCCCAGATACACACACACACACACACACACACACACACACACACACACACACACACACACACATCTCTCACTTACTCTGATTCCTCTGCACCTGCTCCTGTGAAGCCACAGCTTCCTGCAGGGCGCCCAGGCGACTCTGTTCTTCCTGAATCTTGGCAGTGAGAGTTTTGGTAGCCTCAAGATCTGTTTTCAAACTCTGCATCTCTGCCTTGGCCTTCTGCAGATTGCTCTGTAGCGCCTGGATCTTGGACTTCAGTGCTGCAACATCCCCCAGGCCCCCTCTCAGGGTCTGTAACTCCCTGGTGGTGTCTTTCAGTTGACCACTGACTGCCTCGATATGGGAGTTGAAGGAACTGGTGCTTTTCAGCTCAGCTTTTAACACCTGGATCTGGGTATCTGCCTTCTCCAGGTGGCTGTTTGCCTTTTGAGCCTGAGCAGTGACTGTTTCCAGATCTTTCTTTAATGAGCTCATTTCATCATCAGCCCTTTCCAGGTGATCTCTCACAGCCTGGATCTCAGCGCTAGTGTTGTCCACACTGTGCTGGAGAAAGCTCTGGGTCTGGGAGCTCAGGTCATTTGAACTCTGCAGACTTCCCCTCAATGCCTGGATCTCAGTCTGGGCTTCCTTCAGGCCTTTGCCCAGCATGAGGAGTTCAGCACTGGTGTGTTCTGTGCTGCTCTTTAAGAGACCTTGGGTCTGGGAAGTCATAGCATTTGCCTTTTCCAAATCTCCTTTCAGATTATGGATATCAGCATTGGCCAACTCCAAGGAGCTTCTCAGTGCCTGGGTCTCCAAAGCCAAGGAACCAGAGTCCTTGAGCACACCTTTTGCCTGCTGGATGTCCGCACTGGCATTCTCCACATGGTTCCCGAGCAACTGGACCTGAGAACTAACATTGTCCATTTGGTACTTCAGCATCTGTAGCTCCTCCTGCCAAGTGCTAGAACTCCCCACATAGACCCTGAAGCCCTCGGTAGCCTCTTGCTTTTCTGCCATCCTGCCAAGCTGTTGATGATCTGAAAAGAGGAAACAGGAGGTGCCCACAGAAGCCCATTATGTACGGAAGTTCAGATGGCAACTCAGAATGTTCCAGGTTATGATTGTTAATACTATCAACTTGGAAGGATCTAGAATCATCCAGAAGGATCTAGAATCATCCAGAAGATAAACCTCTAGGTGTGTCTATAAGATAGTTTCCAGAGAGGTTTGACTGAGATGGAAAGACCCAACCCGTGGGCCGGGGGTGGGGGGTTGGGGGGAGAGGGGTGGAATGTAGGCTGTACCATCCCATGAGCTGGGGGGTGGAATGTGGCTGTACCATCCCATAGGCTGGGGTCCTAGAATGAAGAAAAAAGAGCAAGAGCTGAGCACCAAGCGCCATAGCTCTCGGCTTCCTGGTGCAAATGTAATTGACTACCTCAAACTCTCTCTTCCGTGCCTTCCGGCCATGAGGAACTGTAACTTCAAACTGTGAGCCATGACAAACTCTTCCTTAAGCAGCTTTTATAACGCGTTTGTTGCAATGGTGTGATACATTAGAGAAACCTCCACAAGCAGCGCGGTGATCCTAGGGCAGCCCACTGGTCCCTGCAGCTTCCTAGACTCCAGGGATGGAGTCCTAAAAACAAGGATGCAGGCCTAAAAACAAGGTGGATGGAGTGCTAACTGGCTGCTGCACACACGTGAAGGAGTAGGAAAAATTGAAACTCTGCCTGGGTTCAGTTCCCAGCACTACCCAGAATATTTTTCTCAGATCATATAACTGAAAAAGGACTAAAAAGAAAAACATGATTTTTTTGATCCCTTTTTGTATGAAACTCTATAACAAAACTGCTCTTTAGTCATGACAAGCAGTGGCTGCCTGAGGTTGAAGTCAGGAGGGAATGGGAAGGATCAAGGCCACAAGTAAACTCGGGCGGGGGGGGGGGGGGGGGGGGGGGGGGGGGGGGGGGGAGGGGAGAGGGGAGGTGTGAGGGGATGGAGATGGTGAATTGGCTCCTCATCTTGACCATAGAGATGGTTTCAGGAACCTTCATCAGGATTTATCAGATTGTAGGTTTTAAGTATGTGCCCAACATTTACACCTATTATACCTCAATAAAGCTGTGCTTAAAACAGAGCAATTTGGGCTTGGAGACATCTCTCATTTGATAGAATAGTTGCTTAGCTTGCACAGGGTTATGGGTTCAGTCCCCAGCACCACTTAATCTGGGTGTGGTAACACACACCTGTAATCCCAGCACTAGAGAGGTAGAGGCAGAAGGATCAGAAGTTAAAGGTCATCCTTAGCTTTTTTTTTTTTTTAAGACCGGGTTTCTCTGTGTAGATTTGGTGTCTGTCCTGGATCTCGCTCTGTAGATCAGGCTGGCCTCAGACTCAGAGGTCCACCTGGCTCTGCCTCCCAAGTGCTGAAATTAAAGGTGTGTGCTACCACCTCCCAGCCTATCAGGGGAGACACCATGTTCAAGCAGGTGGTTTTCCCAGGACAAGGCTCACCCATTGCACTTGGGGTATGTTGAACTCTATTTCCCCAAATCCTTAGCTTTTTTATTTGAAGCCAACCTGGACTGCATGAGACCCTGTATCAAAAAATAAGTTTAAAAGATTTTCTTTTAAGGAGGGGGTTGGGAGGTGGAATTAGGATGTGGCAATAGAAGCTGAACCCAGTGCCCGGCTCCCAGTGCCCGGCCCCCAGTGCCCGGCTCCCAGTGCCCGGCTCCCCAGTACCCAGCTCCCCAATGCCCGGCTCCCCAGTGCCCGGCTCCCCAGTTCTGTCCTCACTGTGACTACTCACTGTCCTCCTGACGATTAAGCTTGTTTTCCAGAGACAAGTGATCTTCATTCTGCGTGGGTCTCCAAGTCTGTAAAGCTGCAAAGCAGTCATTCCTGGGTCAGCTCAATCTGTAGTCCTGACACCACAGACTGCCCCACACCAACTAGAGCCCAGACAAAGGGAGGGGCACAAGGACCACCCCACACAGTTTCTCTGGAAAGCCTCCATTCTCGTAAGCCATCTCACAGCACGGGGGGCTCCAGGTCTGGGCCTAGACTGGTGGTAAGCTGTTGCTTCTGAGAGCATAAATGTCCAGAGGACTGGTCTTTGCATCCCTTGGGACTTTGCACAGAAACTCGGTGGTGGCTCAGGTCGCCTGAGAACTTACCCACCACAAGAAGAGCCAGGAGAGAGAGGAACACAGCCGTGAATGTCAAGATGGCCTGGACATGCCTCAGCATCCTGGGAGCAGCTGGTATAGGGTCCAGCCCTGCAGGGGAGAAGCCAAGGCCTGGTGGCAGGGGGTGGGGTGCTGGGAGGGCTAGGACTCTTGGTCTCTGGCACAGTACCCTGGCTTGTTCATGAGAGATGAGAACAGCCACCGTGCTTCTCACAGGGGAGCCATCAGCAGGAAAAGGAAACGTTCTCTGTGATCAAGGCAACAGCCAGCGATCGGGGTTCACATCCCACAGAGGCTGCAGTGGACAAGGTCACAGCTAGCGATCAAGGGCTCGCACCCCACAGAGGCTGCAGTGGACAAGGTCACAGCCAGCAATCAGGGGCTCGCACCCCACAGAGGCTGCAGTGGACAAGACAGCAGTCAGTGATCAGGGGCTTGCACCCCACAGAAGCTGCAGTGGACACGGTAGCAGTCAGTGATCAGGGGCTTGCACCCCACAGAGGCTGCAGTGGACACGGTCACAGTCAGCGATCAGGGGCTCGCACCACACAGAGGCTGCAGTGGGGCCCTAGACACAACACCTGCCCCAGAGGGCATGGCTACAGAAGTGTGATCAGAAAGAGAGAAGAAAGTGGAGGAGGGAGGGAGATGAAAGGGACCCGCACAGCAGGGGCCCAGACCTCCAGATCTGGTCTTGTTAACAAACCTGACCTAAGCATTATAGCCCCCTGGGGTGGACAGTTGCATTCCTGGAGCCTTTCACAGAGCTTGTTGTCACAGGTGTCCTTACCTTCTAGAAACTGTGATTAAGGGCCAAGGGTACACCCACTAATGACCTTAGAAACGACCAGCCCCAGCGGACATAGGGGTAGGCAGTATGCAAAGTTGGGGTTCAAAACCAGGCCCATCTGAACTCAAAATGCACTCTCTTTTTTCCCATCGGGTTACTGTATCCAGTGGAGGGTCTCCTGAAGGTTCCATATGGAGGCTGGGGCTCTCAGAGTTCTGCGGGTCTGCTGACCTGTGGTGGTATTGTGTTCCCCAAAATATTGTGTACCCTAATAAATTTATCTGGGGTCAGAGAACAGACAGCCACTAGATACAAAGGCTAGAAAATGGTGGCACTCACACCTTTAATCCTAGCATTCCAGAGATAGAAATCCCTCTGGATCTCTGTGAGTTCAAGGCTACATTGGAACAGCCAAGCATGGTGACACACGCCTTTAATCCCAAAAAGCCAGCCTTTAATCCCAGAGAGTGGTGGTAGAAAGCAGAAAGATATATAAGGCGTGAGGGCCAGAAACTAGAAGCATTTGGCTGGTTAAGCATGTGGCTGGTTAAGCATGTGGCTGGTTAAGCTTTCAGGCTTTGAAGCAGCACAGTTCAGTTGAGATTCATTCTGGATGAGGACTCAGAGGCTTCCACCCTGAGGAAACAGGACCAGCTGAGAAGCTGGCCAGGTGAGATAGCTGTGGCTTGTTCTGTCTCTCTGACCTTCCAGTATTCACCCCAATAACTGGCCTCAGGCTTGATTTTATTAATAAGAACTTTTAAGATCCCTGCTACACTGACCCATTTATTGTACCCTGACCTGTTTACTATGGGACCAAGGTGGAGGTGAGATGAGTCTCCGGACTGACAAGGATGGGCTCAGAGGGCAGGGTACAGGAAAGAACCCTAAGTGTCCTCACCTCGGGCCTGTAGGGAGACACGCTGGTTGCCTTTGCAGAATGTGGCCACATCTCTGTTCAACGCCACCTCCTTCATCCTCTTGTCCTGCTCCTGCCACTGGTCCCCAAAGGTCCGTCCTGTGAGCCAGCAGCAGTGGGAGCTGGGACAACTGATTTATGTCCTCCTGAGGAGGTCATGACCACTCCCCAACCCTGCCTCCTCCCTTCTGACTCTGCAGAAACCCAGTGTCACCACTGGCCCCTCCTCTGGGAGTACCAGAGGCCAAGAGCCCAACAGCCCTCTTCCTCTCTGTCCCTCCCCCCTCAGCGCCCTACACACCACCCTCTGAGCCACATACTCCCCGGTCCTCTTCAGTGGGGTCTGAGACAGGCACCAGAAAGGGGAGCACCAACCTTATAGGGGAAGCATCCTTGCGGTACTGAGGAGTGGCTCAGTCAGTAAAGCGCCGGCCACACAAGCATGAAGACCAGTCTTTGGATCCCCAGCACCCTCATCAAAAACTGGGCATGGCAGCACGTGCCTATAGTTTACAGGGGAGGTAGAGGCAGGAAGATCCTTAGAATTTTCTAGTCCGCCTGCCTAGTTGAATCAGTGAGCACAGGATTCAGCAAGAAATTCTTTTTCAATAAGGGCGGAAAGAGAACAGGGAAGACACACATATTGACCTCTGATTTCCATGAGGCTTGAGGTGGTAACACTTGGGAGGCAGAGGCAGGAGGATCTCTATGAGTTTGAGGTCATCCTGGTCTACATAAGTGAGTTCTAAGGCAGCCAGGGCCACGTAGTTAGACCCTGTGTCAAAAACAAACAAACAAAAACAGTGCATGAGGTGGGGAGGATTGGGGGATGGGCAAAGGGTGGGTGACTGCCCGTTCAGAACTCCGGAACGTTGCAGACAGGTCATAGGAAAGGACCTGAGGTGCTTTGTATTTGTCTTTGGCTGGATCCTGGTCCAGAGTTTCTGCAACCCTGACTCCTGAGTGACAGAGCGCCGATGGTTATTCATAATGAGCTTCCTCTGAGCACACCTGTGCTCATGTTGGTGAGATGATTTGGGCTCTCTCAAGATAGCCACTGGTCCCAGAAAGACCATATGTGATTAGAAGCCTCCATCCCCCTCCCCTACTCTCAGTCATCCCTGTGAGGGGCACTTCAAGGGGGTCACAAGAACACTAATACCTAACACACGGCAGGGCTCAGGCTGTGGCTCAGTTGGTAAAGAGTTTGCCTGGCACTCATGAGGCCCTGGCTTCCATCCCAAGCAGCCTTTAAAGAGGCTGTAGGGGTACATGCCATTGATTGTCCATCTCAGGAGACTGCCACAGGAAAGGACCAGAAGTTCAAAGTCATTCTGAGCTGCAGAGAGAGTTTGAGGCCAGCCTGGAACACATGAGACCCTGTCTCAAACAAACAAACAAACAAAAAACTTGAACAAGAAAATCCAGGAGGAATCAATCTCACCCTGACTCCTCAGACACAGTTCTGTGCTCAGGACCTGCTAAACCTTGTCCCATGTCTTTCCATTTGCTCAGGCTATCCCTTCCAATAAACTCTAATAGTCTACTTAGTGTTTATACAGCTCTATGGTTTGTTCTAGGGAACCATCAAAAGTGAGAGAATGTTGTGACATTGGCTATAAAGGTAGGCAGAAGAGTGGGTCCCTTGGCAACCCAACAGTCACTGGTTTCTGAAGTGGAGGCAGTCCTGTGGGCTAGAGCTCTCAGACTGTGAGGTCTCTGCTATCTTGGGGAGTTGAGTTGAGGGAGATTTGTTTGTGTTGTTGCTCGGAGATGGCCAGTGGAGTTGGGAGTCTGGCCTTGATTTGGAGAGCGGGGTCCACATTCAGGAGTGGACCATGGAGTTTCCTCAAAAACTCAAAGGAGATAGACACACAAGAGGAATAAGGAGGGGCCAAAGAAGATGCACCAGCCCTTTCAGGTGGAGAAGCATGGAGAGCAGAGGTCTCTGATTATTTTCTCCATCGCTCTGTGGCTCTACCAGGTTTTACCCGAATATCTGACTCGCGACCATTTTTTTTTTATTAATAAAACAATAAAAGAAGCTGCCTTAAGTTAACATCAGAGTAATCAAATGATGGGCGCACCACTGGTGTTGGAAAGGGGCTGATGGCAGGAAAAAACAGCTTGGTATCAGAAGAGCTGTCAGAGAATACGAAGCAGGATCCACCTTCATCTAAGCCGGTGGTTCTCAACTTTCCTAATGCTGTGATCCTTTAATATGGTTCCTCATGTCATGGTGCCCCGAACCATGAAATTATTTTTGTTACTACTTCATAACTGTAATTTTGCTGCTATTATGAATTGTAAATATTTTCAGAGATAGAGTTTGTCAAAGGGGTTGTTACCCACACATTGAGAACCGATGATAAAGCCTTCATTAGCAATCAGGTGCAATATCTCCAAGTTCTCAAAATTAATTTACAAGACCCAAAGTACTGCTTTAAATGAGACCTGTAACACTTCCTCCAGGAGAATAAGCAGTGCTTTGGGTCTGGCATGGTGCAGTGGTTTGAATAAGAACAGCCCCCATAGGCTCACATATTTGAATGTTTGGTTTCTAGTTGGTAAAACTGTTTGGGAAGGAAGGAGGTGTGGCCTTGTTGTGTCACTGGCAGTGGACTTTGAGGTTCCAAAAGCCCATGCCGTTCCTAACCAGCTCTCTCTCCCTGCCTTTTACTTGTGGATCAAGATGTAAGCTCTCGGGCACTGCTCCAGTACCATGCCTGCCTGTCTGTTGCTGTGCTCCCTACCACGATGGTCATGGACTCTAGCCCTCTATAACTATGAGCCCCAAATGAAATGTTTTCTTTTATAAGTTGTTTTGGCCATGGTGTCTTATCACAGTAATAGAAAAGTAGCTAAGACACATGATAACACATGTCTATACTCGCAGCATTCAGGAGGCTGAGGCAGGAAGATCATCGAGCTTGGGACCAACTTGGACTACATAGTGAGTTTGGGGCTAACCTGGACTACAGAGTGAGATCCTGTCTCCAAAACCCAAAACAAATACTGTTTTAGGGCTTCCTGCTGCTCATTGGCCATAGGATGAGAAGGGAAGCCTCCGGGGGGCAGTTTGGCATTCTTTAGGGTAGTATCCCCATCCCACTGAGGGGGGAACCAGGAGTAGGGCCAATAGTGCCACTTACTAGCCAAGACACCCCTCCAAAGTCAGGGTAGCCTGGCAGAGTCTAATCCCCTCCCCCCTGGTCCTGCCTCGGGGAGCTTACAACCCTGATGACAGTGATCGGCCAGTATCACAGCCTCTCGGGAGTTGTCAATTACAAACTTGTGGATACCTTGTCCCATGCGTACCATATGGTACCTCTTGTTTTCATACTTAGTTCCTGTATCTCATTCCCTTATCTCTCCCCCAGACCTTCGAGCCACCCTCCCATAGGCCCATGGGCAGTGCCTGAGAACCCTGCAAGTCCAGTATCAGAGACGCCACTCTGACAGGGACCAGCAGTGGCCCTGGTGGTCAAGGAGGAGCCTGTGTCATGGCTCTGCACTGCTGTCCACTCAGTGGGAAATAGACCTGTGGAGGTAGATCTGCTGGGTAGAGAGGAAAAAGTG